GACCCGGCGATCTCGTCGAGAGAACAGGCTTTCGAACAGCGCGCGTCGTCTTTCGTTTTACCGCCTCGAAATCGCTGCTACGACTGACTGACTAACAGCGGATAATGTAACGGGACGGCTCCCGGTGAACCGCCTCCCACTCGTTGCCGTTACCGCTCTATTCGTCTCCGTCTCCGTTCTTTTCCTACGCGCTCCTTCGTTCTCCCTCCACCGTCCTCCTCCGTTCGCGACGCGACCGAGAAACAACCGTGCGGACAGCACGCGGTCGGACGACGGCCACCGCACCGTCTCCCTCGTTTCCGTCTCTATACGGCTCGACGCGCGATTCGAGCAAAACAGGTAGACACGCGGTCGTATGCTCGAAACGTTTCGATATCGACGTCGTTCGGTACGAAACTCGGAGCAACGCGAGACAGCGGGACGTCTAACCACGCGCCAACGACTTGACCTGCTACGACGGACAGCGATTTCGATGAAAGTCCGAACAGCGTGGGCTACCCGAGAACGATCGGTCAGGTAAATTTGGTCGGCAGGTAGGGCCGTAAACGGTCGTTCGAACGGTACCGCTTTGCTTCGTTTACGACCTATTATCGAGTACGGATTTCCGCCAGCAGTTAACTTAGGAAAATCGGTCTTACTCCGGTCCTGTCGTTTCGCTCTTCGACGCGTCCGTTTCGAAAGTGCTCGGCATTTTCTCGGCTTTTTCTCGCTCACCGATAACGAACGGATCCTTCTCCGCGATTCTCGGATTATCCTTGGATCAGGGTTTGTTCGACAGCCACCGTTATTCGAAGCGTCCGTACGACGCAGCACGACGCAGCGATTCTTCGAGCCGTCACTTGCCAACCGGTATATCACGGCGGTGGGGATAAACCGAGTCCCGAGATCCAACGAGTCTCGCTAAATTTACGTGTCGCGGGTAATACGGTATTTCGGGAAACGCCGATTATTCGAGCGATGGTCGCGTTCCCGTTGTTCCTTGAGTGGCTCCTTTTCGACTCGAATACCCGGAAAATTCGCGAGCGCTCGAAACGACGTCGATACCGAGCCGTATCGTGTCCCGCGCGGAGCGTAACAGCTTTCCGTGTGGAAAGCGGGATTCCGAGGAGGAGAAGTAGGATCGAGCGCGCACCGTCGAGTCGCGTAAAGCCGATCTATAAATAATCGAGCCGTGTATTTCCAGGCCCCCCTTTACGCAACGCGTTCACGATAAGGATAAGCGCGAACGTTGCCATCGCGTTTGCCGGCGTGGCGCGAGCGCCGAACGGTTGCGTGTCCTTCTGTGCTACGCCGTTGCGCCAACCGCCACGCGATACGCGAAAACGAAAATCGATCGATCGATCGATCGAAGAAAAAACCGCCTACGGAACAACGACGACAAGAATCCACGCGTTTTCGTTAAACCCTGGAAATGTTGCCGCGTTACCCGATCACGCGATCAAACGGGCCGTGGAAAGTCGCGGAGAGTTGCGCAACCGAATTATCTCGGCGTGGACGTATTAATTGTAAAAGAGTGGCGCGCGGTCTAAGCGCGGATCGAGAGATCTACCGGTCGACGCGGACGGACCGATGGAACGCAACTTACGTTGTGAAAAAACGTGTCCGCTTCTTTTGGTACGTCATTGTCACCTGTAAACAAAAAGAAAAACAGAATGTATACGGTTAGAGTACAACGAACTCTACACCCTTTTCGCCTCCACCCGTCGACGCGTTCTTTCTCGATCGATAAACGACTCGCGAGTAGAATCGAAAGGTTCCCGTTCGTATTACGAGATCGGTTCGATCGGTGACATAAATACAAGACGAGCGGATATCGATGAAAATAATAGGTAGGTATAGCACCGCGAGCCGAGGATAACCGTAATTCCGTTTACAAACAGATGATCGAATTAAACGATGCGTCGATGACATTCGCGTATCGAGTATCGTTCGCGAAGACAACGGCTCACCTAGAAGCATCTGTTCCAATTTGCGGCGGTCAACGCGAAATCTCTCTTGGCGCAGCTCGTCCGGATTGCCGATGCCCAGCAGAGCCGCGATGTCTCGTAACTCCTCGCGGCTTTCGAACACCGATTTCCCGGAGACCGTGGTCACGGTACCCTCCGACGTTTCGGACATCGTCTCCGCCGCCCTCCTCTCGTTTTGTATCACCTCGTCGGGTCTCATCTCGTCCGAATTCTTCGACTACCGTGCTCCACCGTAGCCGCAACGATCTCCTTCCCTGCGGAAACAGACGCGCGTACCAACATTTACGGTTGCCTAACTTTTCGCTGGTTCTTACGCCGCGGCGTTCCTCCTTTCTCTAACCCCGTTCGAATCGGTTCTCGGTCCCCTTCCGGTTTTCCGGTTCCGTCTGTACGTCGCGAGGAACAGAGACGACGACTGGACGGTCCTCGTCGGCACCGAACACGCGAACGGATAAAAGGGGATGCCGTTGCGAGCGTAGCGTCCCGGCCGATTTCTCGGAATTCGAGCAGGATTTCGGAGAAGAGGCCCTCCGGATCGACCAATCGGAACGAAGCTAGCCCGACGACGCGACGGTTTTTCTTAACCCCCCGACGGACCGTCAGACGCTTCTATCCTCTACCTTTTCATCGTCCGTTTACCTGCTCCTCTCTCTTTCTCCTTTCGATCCACACCTTTACCAGCCCGAATATTAGCAAAAAATTGTTTTCGCCGACGCGTTTGCTCGCTCTCGTGTACGCGCCACGAGTTTACGTGACTCATGCCGCGTCGATTGCTTCCCTATCGAAACAATGCATTCGATCAACCGACCGGTATCCTCCACCGGGTCGCTACGAATTTTCGCGGCCGACCCTCGCTCCGTTACGCGTCGAATCCACCTCGATTCGCGACAGCCCCGTTCGCTTTTCTTCTTCGCTTTTCTCCTCTCCGGCGCCCTCTTCTTTCCCTCCTTCGCTCCCTCCTTTTATTTTTCTATCCGGAAAAATAAAAATCTTCCGAC